TTTAAATAATAGTTTAATTTATATATTAAAGTTCTAATAATAAAATTAGAATTATAAATGAGTTTAATTATTATTTAAAGATAAGTTGAAAACTTTTGGGAGTTTGGAATGAATATTCTTAAACCAAAATGATATCCATAATATGCTTTGCTTTTCCTATGTTTCATTTTTTTTTTCTATTTCAGCTCAATTATATTTTATATATTTCGGATATGATATTTAAAGTATAATTATGATACTTTATTTATATATTTTTTTATGTTGCTTTAAAGGAAATGGTTATAGCTTTCTCGAAGAAATCGACTTCTTAACTATTGTACAAGTAATATGTTAATCATCATTATTATTTGTAATGTCAAAAAACACTACCAAATGCAAAAGTAACAAAAGTATACGAAAAAACATATTGTTTGACATATTTTACATAGATTACATTTACAAAGTAACAAAACTATTGAAGGCCTTTAAACATAGTTATAACTTTTTGTTATAAACAACACTTGAGGGTTAAAAAAAAATTATTCATTTTGTAAAGTTATCACATAATATTGAATACTTTAATATAAATAAAATATATTATTATAATATTTACAAATAAAACTATAAATATGTAATTAAGTTAAAACTTAGTGAATGTCTTATAACCATGGTTCTAAAAAACGCTTCATGACGCGCCTCAAGGCGTGCCATGGCGCGAGACGTGGTGTAACCGTTACGAAAACGTTTAAGGCGGACTTGTTAAATGTGACGCTCAAATAATGTGTCAAGGCGTGCCTTATCGAGTTATGGCGCGAATATTTTTCAAGGCGCGAGTTTTTTTTTATTTTTTTCTTTTGTTTTTTTATCGGGCCTAGAATAAATGAGATTGTGTTAATTTTTTTATTAGATATTAAAATAACACTTCTAAAAAATTCATATATTTGATAAAATTCAATAATTATACGATTTATATCGTTTTATGTATATAATATAGTCACGTTTTGAAAAACATCATGATTCGTCAAGACTTGCCATGGCTTAAATTTTATCTTATCGTCAAGTCACGCCTTACGTTATTTAGAACATTGCAAAAAACTTACATAGAAATGTCAAATGTCATGTATGCTTACAGGTTAATGTCATTCAACAATATGAATAGTTCATACATATAAATATTAAAATTTTACGAAATCGAAGAGAACTCTGAAAATTTAGTTGGCAGGATCTTGCCTTAGCTTTTTTTCTTTATATGTTTCTACAAATGAAACAAAAAGAGTATTATTTAGCTTAACACCCATCATCACTCAATACATTAAATCCAAACATTTTATTGGGAATAAAAAAGATAACAAACAAGATTATTAAAATATATCAATATGTTTCATATCCATTACAATTCATATACTCTAGATGAATCTGTAAAGCGTATAATGAAAAAAAGAAAATAAACATCATAATTATGAGAATAAAATAATAATATCAATGCCATTGTAGAAACTTGAAAATAGTTTGTATGTTTCTCGCATGAATCTCAACATCCTATCCCTTCATGTGATTTATTCACCTTCGGTCTGAAGCATTTCATCTATCACACAACCACCTATAATTCTGAAAATTCTATCAACACGATCTATCAGAATGACACACACGCACATATATATATATATATATATATATATATATATATATATATATATATATATATATATATCATTGTTGTAAAAGTCGAACTAGGCACCTTCTTACCATCTATGATTAATGTTAGTCGATCGAGTTAGGTGGAGTCAGTTCTGGGCGGCTGTAGGCGGTCATGAGCAGTCCTAGGTGGTCAAGATGGTCTAAGCTGGTAAAAAAGTCAAACAATCAAAATTTTCAAAAAGAAAATCTACGGTTAGTCAAATTTATGATCTTGGTGATTTTGGATCCATTCTAGTGTTTTGGTGGCAAGAAGAAGAAGTAGAAGTCCTAGAGTGTTGGTTCAACAAGGAGGCTCCATCATCATCATCTTGTGCACATTTCCAAGATCCAATCTTTATGAGCTCAAATTGCAAGATCTAAGTTCTATGCTCCTTTTTGCATGTTTATGACAGAATGCATGTTTGGGATCCATAAAGTTGCCAACTTTATAGATCAATGAGTCATTATGTGGGATTTAGTCCTATGGATCTAAAGTATGGTTTTAATTTATGAATCTTGTGTGAGGTTGGGGCCATTTCTTGCCATTTTGACCTAAGATGGGTTTAGGACATGATTGGGGCATGCATGTCCATCAAGTAATCATTTTAACTGGCTTATGGAGTCCTTGTTAGCTTCTGAAAGAATTAGGATTGAAAGTTCAATGGATTAAGGACCTAAAAGTTGGATTTTTAGCCTCATACTATTCTCACGAAGTGGGACACAAGGTCTCACGATGTGAGAAGCGTTTGGTCCCATTTCTGGTTATCTGCTTGAGGCTCACGACGTGAGAAGGCTTAACATAACGTGAGGGCAGCCCCGTTGACTTTCCTTTGGCTAAGTTGGCTAGGTTGAGTCGTGAAGAGTTGGTATCTATTTGAGTGAGTGACCAAGGCTGGTCACGATGTGAGATGTAGTTTTGGGCTTTGTTGGGCCATTGGGTTTCTGATTGTGAGCTACGGTTATGTCGTGGGCATTTTGGTTTTGGTCCCATGATCGTTTTGGGCCCAAATAGGAAGTTGGGCTATATTAGGCTTTGAGTTTCCATCTTGGGCTTTTGTATGATTGAGTTGGGCCTTGGTTTTGGGCCAAATGAAAAAAGGGTAAAATCGTCTTTTATCCTTTACGAAGTTGGTTTAAGGAGTGGGCCTGAGATTATGGATTATCCGGATTATTATTGATTATGATTGTATTTTGCTAGTAAGCACGAGGTTATTCGGTTCAACAACTTGAGCAGTCATTTGATTATCAGGGCATTGAGGTGATATTTCCTCACTATACTTGCGGGTCAAAAGGCACCAAGGACTGCCCATTGGATTAGATATCATGCACATGATAGTATTTTACTGTGATGTGGTGATCTATTAGATCGATATCCTGGTATATAGGATGATGCTATGCTTAGTGATTTGTAAAATCTGTCTGATTATCTTCTACTATATGTATGTTTATCAGTTATTTATATGTCAACATGTTGTGTGGTTGCGTTGAGGCGGACCAATGTAGACTAAAGGCTAAGGGATCCAGGGTGTCCTAGATTGACTGTAGACCTGAGAGGCATACTAGTCAGGCTGAAGGCTCAGAGAACATTCCCGATAGGTTTAAGGCCCGATGAGGCGTTCCGGTCATGATGAAGGTTCTGTGAGCATAACAAATAGTTTACAGACTGATGTGGCGTTCCAGTTAGGCTAAAGGCTCTGTATGCATGTTGTTGGTTGTTGTACTTATGTTGTGACGGTACTTTGGGGAAACTCACTAAGCTTTCGTGCTTACAGTTTTGGTTTATGGTTTCAGGTACGTATGAGGACAGTAGCAAGGTGAAGGCATGACGGTACACATCCTTCGTTTTACGATTAATTAGATCTTGGGAGACTCTAATTTTAATTAATGTTTACGAAACAATGAATTTGTAAACACTTTTATTAGAAAAGGGGTTGTTTTGTAAGGTTTAAATTTGCCGAAATTTTTGGGATGTTACAAGTTGGTATCAGAGTCTTGCTTTGAGTGAATTAGAGGAACACTCGTGTGGATCCAGTCTCAAACTAAGGAAAATGAAAATGGTTTTAAAAATGATTTTCAAATTTGTTTTCAAAAAATCAAGAAAATATGTAATGTATACGATCATGTGGAGCCAGTACGTAGACCCCAAATTACCACATTGTTATTTGATATTGTGATATGTTAGAACAGCATGCTAGTGATAGACTAGGGATCTTCAAGAAATGCGTGATCGAATTTCCTGATTATATGATGCTTGATAGCCTAGGGTATTCCTTATATGAAATTGACATCATTACTATAGTTGCTTAGCGTATGCATCATTATTGTACATAACTAAGATTCTACACCCTGAGAATGTTTGGTTTAGCCTTATTTCCTATTCTTGTTTGATGAAGGGCTTAGGGTAGAATCGAGTATTCGACTGTCTATATGATCTAGTGTTATGTATGATTAGCATACACGAGTACTGTAGGGTTGGTGGAAGTTTCATGAGTAGGTGCAGTTCATAGTGGGTCAGCGTGAGGAATGATTAGCCACACTTGAGAGAGTGAGGGCATGATGAAGGTGCATCCAAGATGTTGGGAGATAGTGGTCGAGAATTTCGTATTAGGATTTGTCTGATTTTGTAACATCCTGACTCCCAGGTATGAATTTCAAGAATTTTTATACATCACTTAAGACCTCCTCGACGAGTTGGAGGCACCAACTCGTCGTATAGAAACTAATCAGGCCACATAGTTTATAGAACCTACTCGACGAGTTGGAGGACCCCAACTTGATGAGTTGAGGATGTGCATGAAAACCCTAATTTTTAGGGTTTGCACCCTATTTAAGGGACCTTAAGTCCCCTCACCAACCTCCCTTACCATCCTATTATCCAAAAGAAAACCCTAAATGAGCTAACCTTCCATTTTGAGTGTGTACAAGGCTAAAGAGTGTGTGTTTTGTGCATTTCTTAGAGAAACTAGAAGGTTTAGGAGCTTGGAACGAGAAGGAGATTATAGATTCGACATCTACTCATTTGTAGCAACCTTTTGAAGGTAAAAAGTTGTTACCTTGATCATTTTCTTGTTAGATCTCTCCATTCAAAAGTTTAGGGCCTTTTTAGCCCACTTTGGATCCATTTTTGGAAGTTGAGCATGATTTGAAGTTGTAACTTAAGATTTGGACTCCTCTATAGGACAAAATTGCAAAAATGGTCCATGTGTTTGGAAAAATTATGCGACTTTGGTCCAAAACGATACTTTGATGCATCACTGGTCCAAAATTGGATTTTCCATTGTTTTTGGTCCCTCCCACTAACTTCCGTCCATATGTTCCGTTACCTGCAATAAAGGTGGGGGTATTTTCATCTTTCCACCTCCATATCATCGATTACCGCCATATTGAATGATATACACAGTTAATGACCCTTCACTCTACCCACTAAACCCACTTTGTTGATCGAAAACCCTAATCGTTCATTGAAATCTTACATTTGATCATCAACCGAAATCGTAAGTTTGAATCCACGAGTATGCTCCAAATGTGGGAAATCAGGCCAAGAAATCAGTGTTTTGATGCAATCCGAATTTACGGTAACATACTCTGTTTCTTAAATATTTGTTTGAAACAAAAAAAATCTTTTACAATCCATATAAAGTAATGTTTTTTGGTTTGGTTCATGATTTTTACAGAAGCATATCCCACGATGTTCACTATTGAGCTCCATCATGGAGGGAGGTTCACAAAATTCCCAGCGATAAGCTACATTGAAGGAAAATTAGACCATATTGACTTGGTAGACATGGATGAGTTCTCTGTGCATGAGTTGGACAAGTTGATGCTAAAGCTTGGTTATGAGGTACCACCAATCATTTACTACCACTATCAATTGCCAAATGGCAATTTGGAGTTTGGTCTTAGAGCTCTAGGGAATGATATTGATGTACTTAGTCCTGCACAGTACATTGAACATCATAAGATCATCAAGGTATACAGTAAACATAATGAAACTAAGTTACTTACATACTTTATGTCTCCAAGAGTTAAACCTAGGGTCATAATTGAGGAAATAGCAGATGATGTGCCCACTACAATTGTTGGTGATCAAGATGTCCCAAATCTTGAATTGTGTTTAGTAAGATATGAGACAACCGAATACAATTCAAATAGGAGATTGAGGTTAGTTGAAGGGTTTCAATCATGTAGTAAGAAATTGTGTTTCAACTTGGAACACACTGCAACTGTTGGTGATCAAGATGCACATGTTGAAATTGGTAATGAAGGTGCAAATATTAGTGAGCAAGGTGCAACTGTTGGTGATCAAGATGCACATGTTGAAATTGGTAATGAAGGTGTGAATATTAGTCAGCAAGGTGCAGCTATTGGTTATCAAGATGCATATGTTGAAATTGGTAATGATGGTGCAAATAATTAGTGATCAAGGTGCACCTGTTGGTGATCAAGATACAAAAGTTCATGATCAAGGTGCAAATCTTGGTGACCAAGAAGTAAATACAAGAGAGTTTGATACCTTTGATGACCAACCATTTCAATTCGAAGACTTTGATCCTTTCTTTGATCAATATACTTTTAATGATGGTAATGATCAGAGTATGGGAGTTGGTGCAGAACTCGGCACAGGACTAGGTGAAGTTCAATTTGAAAGTGAGGGAGTTTGTGAAGGACTTGGTGAAGGAGGTAGTGAAGGGGGTAGTTATTGGGTCAATATTATGGTTTATACTTTACTTTTCTAGGAAGTTGTATTTTTATGTTATATCTTATGTGTTTATGGTCAAGTTTACGGCCAGGGAGGTGTTTACAGCCGTAAACAGGTTTACGTCCCATGTTTACCCGACCCATATTCTCATGTATATATATAGGGGTGAGGGGTGTGAGGAAAATATTGATGAACACCAAGGAGCTTAAGTGTGTGCATTCTAAGGTGTGTGTGTGTGTGTGTGAGAGAGAGAGAGAGAGAGAAAAGAGAGTGTGTGTTAGTGTGTGTGAATCTTGTATGCGGATCTTCATTCTAATCATATCATACATAGATTCATCTTCTTATTCTTCTTCTCCGTCTCTTCTATTTGATTTGACATCATCCGTTTGAGTGGGATTCCGCACCGTCAAACGGATCTGATTGATTCACAAGCAGATTAGGGACTTACAATTGGTATCAGAACTTTGGTTGTATCAATCAATTTTTTCCAGATATGGAGCTTATTTGATCTTATTTTGAAGAGATTTTTGTGTTTTTGGATAGATCTCGCAAAAATAAGGGGGGTTTGTTCTTCGTATTTTTCCTACAAACGAGTTTTTGATCGAAAGGGCAGGAGGGAATTTACGTCTGGCAAGGTTCGAACACGGGACCTCTCCAACTTCAACAAGGCGCTTTACCAGTTGAACCAAGGAACAACTTGTTACAAGCCTTCTGTTTTTAATTCTTAAACACTCCTAGTCGCATCCAACTTTCGAAATTTTGTCAAATTCAACCCAAAATTAATTTCTTTTATTCTTAAGTTCTATTTTCAACCAAAAAATTTAGTTTTTATTTTTTTGATTTTATTTTTAAACTTTTGACTTTTATTTTTGACTCTTTACTTAAATTTTTGACTTTAACTTTTAAAATTTGACCTTTGACCTTAAGCTTTGACTTTTTTTGTTTAAGTTTTAAATTTTCAAATTTAGATTTTGAGTTTGACTTTTTAAATTTGACTTTTAAGGTTGACTTTTGAGGTTTATAGTCAAAGGGCATTTTTCAATTTAAGTTTGATTTTTTTTATAACTTCTAGTTGTGCTTTTTAATTGATTTTAAGGTTTACGAGGGAGTTGAAAACATGGAAGAGATTCATCAGGAGATGTTAAGACAAAACTTCAACATGTTCGATTATATCCCTGGAGAAACCCTCGAAACTCAGTTGCAGCAATTTACTACACTCACTACTGAGATGAATATAGCTGGGATCTTCTTGTCCAAATCTGAGATAAACAAAAAGCTATTGAATGCACTTTCGAAATCGTAGGATATGGATGTGGCTGACATCAAGAAGACAAAAGATCTTAATCGTCTTAGTCTGGCTGATATAATTGAAGAACTTAACACTTTAAATTGTCGAAAAACAATGAGTTCCACAAACCTCCCAGTCATTGAAGTTTCATGTTCTCAATCATGTGAAGTTTCATGTACGCTATCTAGTGAAGATACGATTAAATTTCTTCGGGAACAAATTGATTTATTAAAAAAGGAATTTGAGGACCTGAGATATAGAGGATATCAACTCAGGAATGGACAGAAACCCCTGAAGGCTGAATTAGAAGCAAAAACCAAGGACTTTAGGAAGCTTCAGGAAGAGTATAGCAACAAGTGTGAAAATTATAGCTATATTAAGAGACAACTTGCTACTGTAACGGAAGAACTTGACGCTTTAAAAATCAAGTGTGGAAAAACAGTCATTAGTTTTAAAAATTATACTGCATCAAGTTAGACAGTCGAGTCTTTATATGACACCAAATTAAAATTCAAAGAAAATCAAAACAAGGGTCTAGGGTATGATAGTGTTCCTCCACCTTTCAATCATAACTACACATCCATTCCTATGACATAGGACGAAATTGACAGGGAGGCACATATTCGATATGGCAAACCAGCTGGATTTGTGTCAGGAGGAGTTATTAATATTGCAAATACTAATGTTGCTACTTCATGTGCAAGTAAAGTAGCAGAAGATGAGAACAAGGAGAACACTAATGAACAAACTGATGACTCCTTGAACTCATAATCTATTGCTTCGAATTCTGTTACTCCTAACAAACCTGCCGTTGAGAAATACAAGCCACCAATTCCAGTGAAACAGAGTGCCTGTTGTAACTGTGAGTGTGGGAAAAGCAAGAGACAAGGCAAAGATACGCTACCAGGGGCAGGAAGAAATAACTTTACAGTGAAGAAAAAGACATGCTTTCACTGTGGAACACCTGGACACATTGCCAGAAATTGTCCTAATCGCGCATACGTTCCCTATTGCGCACAAGGATGGCAAAACACGCCAAGTGGGGGATACTTCAAAAGAAATCCTTCTAGTTCACGTTCAGAAAATGGTGACTGGAACGCACAGAAGGCCACGAATCAAACCCACAAGGAAAAGAATCTGAATCCCAATAGCAAGAAGGAAATGCCTGCCAAGAAGCCCAATCCAAGAGATGCTCCAATGAAGCCAAGACCGGTTAGGTCAAAGTCATCTCGGCAGCCGACTTCAAGTTCCAAATCAAGTGCCGAGGCACTCATCGGATCGAATAAGAAATGGGTTAAACCCAAATATAGATGGGCTCCAAAGGTGAAAACTCCCAACTCTTCTAATGACTCTAATATTTCATCGTCTTCTGTTTATGATAAGCAGGATATGTCATGGGAGAGAGTACCCTGCATTGATGACAAAGGTCGAACCAGTTTCAAAATGGACTGGGTTCCAAAGACCAACTAATCCCGCTCTGTGTCGGAGCAGCTATGGAGGCATATCATCAGACTTCGGTTTGTTGGTAGTGGTTGCTCCTGGCATATGATTGGGGACATCTCTCAACTGTACAACATTCAGACCTTTGTTGAGAGTATGTGTCCTTTTGTGGGAAAGGAAGAAAGGAAGAGATCACAAATGGGGTTAGTGCTTAATGATATGAAGAATTTTCGCATCTGTTCTGAGATTATGCTTGCTGTTCTCAGACCTTCTGAATGCAGATTCAATCGGTGAATTATGGTTTGCGTTTTCTTCTCTATACTCCTGAGTTTTTCCTAAGCTGATTCGCTTTAAAGACTAATTTTTGTTTTAGGATAGTTTAAATTTGCGCATTTACTTTCGTTTCTCTCATATGCACAAATTTAGGGGGAGAAATAAAAACAAAAAAAAATTAAAAATTAAAAAAAAATCCAAAAACATTAGAAAATCAGAAAATAAAAAAATATATGTTAGTTATGAAATGTGCTTGAGGGAGATGTTTTAGGAAGTGATATTATCAAGTGATAACAGGCAATCTGAGTTTGCGTAACATACCCAAAGTTGAAAGGTCTATGCTCTGGTTTGATGCGTCAGTAGGCACGAAAAAATCTAAATGGACTTGACTAGGCAGAGTTGAACTTAGGAAATTTATAGACTTGAAAAATCTTGACCTAGTTAGATACGTTTAGCCTGACAATATGACGCTCGGATAGGTTGAGAAGGGAGATATATATGGGAATCCACTCGTCACATTAAATGAACCCATACTTGGAACCGTGGTTTAACTTTTCATCGATGTGCGGATTCTGTCCTTAATTCTGGTTGGATGGGGCGACTGGTAAATTCCGATAAATTAGGTCTGTAGAAAGTCATTTTCTTTCTTTCTATTTGTTAGTCATATGTTGTCTCCTTTGCGTGACTTCAAATCCGACCTGGTACACAACATATGCAACTCTATTTCTCTGCAAGTTATATATATGAAATTCCTCTTATCTGTTAGCCATATGTTGTCTCCTTTGCGTGACTTCTAATCTGACCTGGTACACAGCATATGCAACCTTCTACTTCTCAACCCCTCTGAAGTAATAAGTAATAAGTAATAGAATTCTGAATCTATCCTCTCTCTGAATGGTTGTCTGCTCACCCGGTGTAAGGAGTACCTTGGAAGTTCTTGATGGTTGGGGCATATCAGGAAGCGGGAAACACGTTGTAGTACACTTCAAATTGAGCACATACAGATTCTCTGTATATCTCGCTACTCAATTTAGGTGGACAACAATATCCGTGGTCATCGTCAGCTGAATGGTCCTTAAGATATAGTATCTAGGAACTTAGGATCAGATCTAATTTTTAGGAACTTAAGTTCACCTTGACTTGTAACAAATAGTATGTCCTAAATTTGTTACAATTTTTCGTGTTTAAGTGGACAACTATACCGACGATCGACCAGACAAAGATGTGAATATGAAAGGTATTGATAAGTCGATTAAGGTTGTCTAAAAACTTTGATCCCAAATCACTCTTAAAGTTAGATATCATTTTTATTTTTGTTAAATTTGTCATAGTTTCTTCTAATTTAAATATTAGGGGAGAATTAAAAATTAAAAACAATGAAAATAAAAAAAAACAGAAAAATTCAAAAATCAAAGAAAAATTAAAAATCCAAAAATAGTGTTATTTCTGTTTTATTTCTTGTTCAGGAAAATCAAAAATCCAAAAATATTTTTGCTTCTGTGCTAAGTTTTCTTTTAGCTTTGTTTTGTCTTTAAAAGTGATTTCAGGTATAGATAAGACTCATGGAGTTTGTGTTGAAGATTTCTGAGCCAAAGCCTCGTCCGTGAGCATCGAAGAATTCGCATTCGAAGGAGCAAGAAATGAAGATTATTCTTTCAACATTCAATCCTTCAACCCTAGAAGCAAGGTGAAGCTGCAATTGAAGATTATGTGCCGGATTGCATTGAAGCCTCCTTAATCAGTCTGTTGCTATCTTTGTACCTGCTGAAGTGATCCAGAAGATTTGTTCTCTCTGATGTTCTCTCTGAAGATTCTTAAGCTGAAAGCGCCATCTTTCAAGAATCAGTACAAGAAGCCTCCTCACCCAATGTGCGTTCAATGTCAAATTCTGAAGAAAAGCCCAACTTCTCAAGATGAAGTCATTCATTAAAGATTCATCAAGTTTATCTTGAAGTCATGAAGAATTTGAAGATTAATGCTGAAGCTAAGCTCTCGATGAAGACTGACAAGAAAAGCCAGCTACTTTTTAGGGGGAGCTTGTTGGGGCATTTAAGAAAAGTAAAGAAAGCTATAAACCAAGGGGGAGATTGTTGGGTCAATATTATGGTTTATACTTTGCTTTTCTAGGAAATTGTATTTTTATGTAATATCTTATGTGTTTACGGTCAAGTTTACGGTTAGGGAGGTGTTTATGGCCGTAAACAGGTTTACGGTCGTAAACCCTGTTTACATCCCATGTTTACCCGACCCATATTCTCATGTATATATATAGGGGTGAGGGGTGTGAGGAAAATATTGATGAACACCAAGGAGCTTAAGTGTGTGCATTCTAAGGTGTGTTTGAGAGAGAGCGAGAGAGAGAAAAGAGAGTGTGTGTTAGTGTGTGTGAATCTTGTATCCGGATCTTCATTCTAATCATATCATACATAGATTCATCATCATCTTCTTCTTCTCCTTCTCTTCTATTTGATTTGACATCATCCGTTTGATTGGGATTCCGCACCATTAAACGGATATGATTGATACACAAGCATATTAGGGACTTACAGTAGTGAAGGGGGGCAGTGAAGGGGTTAGTGAAGGGACTGAGGAAGACATTGACTTTCTTGAAGATGAAGAAAACTATGTAAGTGATATTGAGGTGGACATGAGTGATTTGTATACGAATGTTGATCTAGATGTTGAATATGTTGATAGAGGAAAAGGTGTTGAGACTGAAAATGAAGTTGTTGATACAGAAGATGTTGAAGTAATTGATAATGATGAATGGGACTCATTAGGTGAAGATAGTGATGATGAAAGAAGGAAAGCAATATTAAAACAGATAGTGAAGGAGAAGAAATGCTCTCTTGGTGAAGTCCATGCAGTAAATTTTCAAGTGGGTCAAAAGTATAAAAGTAAAAAGGAAATTAAGGACAAAGTCAACAAACTTGCCATTGAGACTAGAAGGAATCTTGGCTTCAAGAAAAATGACAAAACAAGGCTTACTGTTGTGTGTAAAGGTAATGTACCTAATGTAAATGCAAGTGGGGTAGGTAAGGGCAATAAATTAAATTGTTCTTGGTCAATGCAGACTTCACAGTCAAAAGATAGTGATTATTGGTATGTGAAAACCTTACTGGAAAAACATACTTGTGTTCAAACTAGAAAACTTAGGGCTTGCACTGCGAAGTATATATCTGCAGAAATCTTAAACATGGTTGAGTCTAACCCTACAGTACCCCTTCAAAGCATTCAAGACCAAGTTCAGAAGAGGCTTCAAGTTGGTGTGTCCATGAAACGTCCAGAAATTCGAGACTAAAAATTTCTTTTATAAAACATTACTTAAAACAAAATTATCAAACCATATCATAACCAGAGTATTAATTTCCAAAACACATGTTCATTATCAGAGTAAAACATGCCCAGGCTGTCTAATCTATGGTGTGTGCCATGCGATCACCCCGAGCTCTTCCCTCCGCTACCGGAAGTACTTGAAACCAAAACTGAAAACTGTAAGCATGAAGCTTAGTGAGTTCCCCACCCTACCACATACCATGCATAACCACGTACTGCACATACTGGGCCACGCCCGCTATTTTGGGCCTCGCCCGCTACAACGGCCTCGCTGCTCCAGGCCCCGCCTGGCTTCGAGCCCTGCGGATACAGATCTATCTAACTTAGGCCTCGACTGTCACTGGGCCTCATCTGCTAACATATAATAGCATATAAGCATATAACAAGACATAAGCTAACATATACTCATAAATCCTGTCCTGAGGCCTCGCCTATCTTGGGCCTCACCCTTGTCCTACTACTGATGAGTCATGGAACCCCGTCCACACCCTTACTGATAGTGAGATATGGGCCTAGCCCATACTCACTCTTTCCCTAACTTGGTCCTCGCCCCTATTCTGCTACTAATGAGAAGTGGAACACCATCCACACTCTACTATTGGTGAGATACAGGACCTCGCCCACACTCACCTCCCTACCAGGCACATACATGTATCACATAGACAACAAGTATAAACTAACATATAAACCATTCCTTGGGCACCCGCCCGTTATTATTGGACCTCATCCTGAATATCATACAGGCGTACTGTGCCTAGGGCTAACCCCCAGATCTTCCTACTTGTATCTACATGGGCCAGCATTGTGGCCTTAGAGCCATTCACACAAAGGGAAACTCACCTTGCAATCTGCTGACTGAAAAGATAAGATCATGCTCACCTCCGACACGAACTCCACCCCTGATAATACCAAAAGACTGAACCCAATAAATACCAGTAATTACCAAAATGCCCTTGGAAGTCAATTGGTCAAAGTCAAAGTCCTCAGAAAAAGTCAAACTTCCTGACTGACCCTACTCGCCGAGTCAGCCCGCTGACTCGCCGAGTCCCTCAACTCTGAAAAAGTCCCATCTCACCTCACTGAGTCGCCCCTTGACTCACCGATCCTCAGCTTAACCAGAAAAGGCTAGGACCTCAAGACCAGACTTGCCGAGTCCAAGAACAAACTCGCCGAGTCCAAGGCTATCTTCAACTAACTCGCCGAGTTGTTCTTCCAACTCGCCGAGTTCCTGCCCAACTTCATCCAACTCGCCGAGTCCACCCATGTGACTCGCCGAGTTGCACCAGTTCATAATCGATACAATGGATTTTCGATCCATGCAGGGGCTCCAACTCATAGATCCATACTCCCAAAGCTCAATCCTAACGTAAAGTTGCAAACTTTACGTATAACTAAGAGATCAAGGCTCAAAACACTCTAGGGCTAGGTTTAGGGACAAAAGGGCTTCACCAACTACTCATCTTATGATGCTTTATGACATACTGGACCATCCCAACACTAGATCTGAAGTGGCAACGACATATCTAGGCCCCAAACTCGAATTGGGTCTCAAACAACCATGAAACCCCCAAATCTCATAACAAAAGTAGATCTAGATGCAAAGGAGGGAACATAGCAGCTTATTACCTCCAAGATGAACGCAAACTGAAGTAGATCCCAGATCTTTACCTCCCCTTTGAAGCAACCTTCTTGATCTTCAAGTTCCTTTCCAAAGTTTTATTCCTCCAAAGCTATTTGTCTCAAATGATGGAAGCTCACACGAAATCTAGGGTTTACAGGTTCTCTAGGATGATAAGGAGGCTGAGGGAGGGACTTAACACCCATTATATAGGATACAACTCCCGGGATTAGGGTTTTCCTCGTTTAGACTAGAGTCGCCGAGTCCCCTTAGCCGACTCGCCGAGTCGATCACTAACTCCTGAACCTGGATCTCGCTCGGACTCGCCGAGTTTCACACTGGACTCGGCGAGTTGACCCTTTGACTCAGGGTTTTCTTTCTTTCTTGGCCTACCTGATTTTGGGGTGTTACAACTCTCCCCCACTTAAAATAAACTTCATCCTCGAAGTTTGCTATGGTTCACCATCTGCGATCTGCTTCCAATACCCTACTATTAATCCAACACCCGCTGCCTACCTTCGTTGGCCTTTCGCCCGGTCCTCCTGAAGACCATTAACCCTTGCGGATAATAATAATCTCCGGTCAACCCTGACTCTGAACATTATGGAAACACAACTTACTCAACCAACAGTCCTTCTGGTAATGTCCGAGTACTACAAATGAACCCATAGGGATTCATCCCCTCTCTCCTTGTGTGTTTTCTTGCCTTCCCAAGGCGATGCTCCATAACCAACTATTTCCTTTGTCACTGTGAAGGTCTTATCCTTCACCAAATCCATTCCTCCTGCTACCTCCATTACGGGTTATTATCGCCAGTATCCACTGGGAATTTCTTTCTACTATACTTTGGTGTCAAGCACCCCACGGTCCACTAGCTGAATTCCACCTTAGACTGCTTACCAGCACTGCTACTGACTTCAAATTTTAGCTATTTCTTATCTGCCTTCCGGATGAACTGATACCATCCTGGTCCCTACCAATCTATCAATATCTAGATTACCGGCTCCCACCGGTCGCTAGTCCCAACACAACTCCTAGTCGCTCCCAGCGACTTTCGAAGGCACTTCGACTACCTATAACTTCTCAATCTATTATGTCATTCAGGCACTACATTCCTGGGATCCTCGATCCCCTATTCGACACTACGATCCCTACCAGGTCTCACCTGTGCTACTGAAAATCACGGGCCTCGCCCACGGGTCTCACCCGCCTCTATCCTTCTAGTCTCACTTGCCTAACCATTCTCGCACGGGCCTCGCCCACGACTCTCAACCAACCATATTACTGAGCAACCCTACTCTCAGGTCTCACCTATACTGTTATTCTCATACGGGCCTCGCCCATGGGTCTCACCCAACTATTCCCTGGAGCGGCCTCTCCCAAGGTCTCACCTCACTAGGCGATACAGGCAACTCCCTACTAATCTCATCCACTACCCATTCCTGATCCCTCTATGATCACTAGGAGATAAGGGCCTCGCCCCAACTCCGCTAACGAAGCTACTATGGAATGCTATGACTTACCCGTAGTCTTACATCACCATCCACCACTGACCGCTACTGGAGGAAGTTGCGGCTCTCCTGCCTTTCTACCATGCTTTAACGGGGATTCCCAACCACGTACTAACCATTGAACGCTGTACTACATCTTTTCCTTCTTAGAGATCGCGTACTCATTCTGGACCTACGTGCTTTTACCCTTGAACACTCGGAGGATTCTCCCCCACTTCGATCCTGCTTACCCCTTGTTTCTCAATGCTCGAAAAGAAAACCCAATGCCTACTACCAATCCATAATCAATCTATTGAGGAACCCCAAGCTTACCATAGCTAGGGATCTAACTAGTCCATTTCTGAAACTATACAGCTCCGAACTAGCGAGACATACCAAGTCCCTCCCAGTCATGCTACAATTACTGCATCCTAAGCATCCTTCTCCAATAAAGCCCCTCCCTTAACCACTATTCAATATCCAAGGTATGCAGATGGCATATAACTCGATAACAATCAAGCCGCACAAAGTAAAATACTCATACCGATAATGATGCAGAACCATAACAATATAATCATGCACAAATAACAGAACTGAAAACGGAAGTCGCATACCTGCAACATTCGGTGTTGCTCGAGTCTCTAGGGTAGTCATCTGAAAAGCCCTGCCTCCTACTGTAGGTGCCTCCGCGCGCCCCTGACGGCCGTCTATGATCCTCAAAGTTGCAGGGGTAGGTGCCATCACCCGTCCTGCCGAAAACAAACTAGGGCATTGGGCCTTCTTGTGGCCCCGTTGGTTGCAGTGAAAACATATCAAATTAGATCCCTGTGTGGTGGTACTAGTACAATTCCTGCTAAAATGACTAGTCCGACCACACTTAAAACAGCCAGACTCACCACCGCTGCCACTCGTGCACGCACCCCCGTGCGCCCTGCCACCCTTGCCGCACCGGCTGCGGTCCTGATAATACCTCGATCTCAAATCCGATCCCTTGGGCCTTTTTCCTGAACTTGAAACTGTCTGAATCTCATCCGGCTTCCTCTTCCGGATCTGCTCCAAATCAATCTCCCTTTCTCTAGCTCGTGCGATCATATCCTCCAACGTTTTGCAGCTGGACTTGCTCACAAACTGCCTGATGTCATCCCTCAACATCTCATGGTATCGGGCCTTCTTCATCTCCTCATCTGCGACATACTGTGGAACAAGAAGGGCCCTCTCCCTGAACTTGGCGGTGATCTCTGCCACAATCTCAGTGGTCTGCGTCAAATCCTGAAACTCCCGTGCCAACTACTGCACCTCAATAATTGGCGAAAACTCCGCCCTGAACCTGGCTGAAAAATCACCCCATGTCATCGCATCCAATGCGGCATCATCACCCAAAGCATGATCAATCTCTTCCCACCAATCCCTTGCTCTGTCCTTCAGAAGACAGGAAGCGAGTCTGACCTTGTCCCCCTTGGGACACCGGCTCGTACGGAATGATTGGCAACATCAGCCAACCATTTGCTGCTAGCGATGGGGTCCCTAGCCCCATGATAATCTGGTGCCCCGCAAGCCCTGAACTCTCGAAATGTCAAAGTATGCGCTCCCATCAAAGCCATCATCTCGGTACGGAAGGCTCCCATCCTCTCATCCAAAATCTCCAATATACCCTTCTTAACCGTGCCAAAGATCACAGGAGTCTGGTCTAATATGTTGCGCATAACCTCAGCTGATATCAACTCCCCTTATTCGCTCCTCGAGCTGCTTGGCTTCTGAACCCGAGCCTGATCCCTCTCCGACGCCTGATCCGCCCACTGGTCTCTCTCTCAACGTCACCATGCTGAAAATATAACACAACCACTATCAGAATACTTA